ATTCATAAAAATTTTAACACGTAATGGGTTTACTATTTTTATTTTCATATGAATAAATGTTTTAAAATTTTCTAATATGGTAATTTTCAATAGATATAACCCACATAAAAAACACGTTGGGGCCCTCAATAATTTTTAGGAGTGTAAAGTGGTGTTGAGACCAAAAATTTTGAGAATTGAATGAATTAAACCAGTGGTCAGCAAACTATGGCCTGTGTCTGGCCTGCCACCTGTTTTTGTAAATAAGGCTTTATTGGAATATATCCGCGCTCATTCATTTACATATTGTCCATGACAGCATTTGAGCTGAGGATCTGCAAAAGAGACAGCATGGTCTGGAAGGTCTAAAATCTTCACTATCTGACTCTATAGAAAAGGCTTGCCATTCCCTAAGATCTAAGTGCTGAATTATCTGGGCAAAGGGCCACAAAACCAAATTAGATTTGCTAACATTTTGGAATGTCCTATCAATTTGTTGCAGGGTAATTTTTTATAAATAATCCTCACAGTAGTGAACACTACTTTCTTTTCAGAAGAGGCACAAAGATAGTTTAAGTGACTTGCCCCAAGTCACGCTGCTATTAAGCCAGGATACTAGTATTTGTCCCTAGAAATCTGACTTGAGTCCACACAATTAACCAGATCATCATGTTGCATTTACTAAAAGGACAGATGCAAAGTAGAATCTACAGCATCTCCAACTGCAAATGGAAATAGTTCCTGCATTACACAGTAGTTGACTATGCACCTTTATACTAACATAGGGATCCACTTAAATATATCAAGAGCACGATCAACAACCATATTTTCTTCACACAACAATATATTTTATTGGGGGAGAATGTAGTAAGTACTATTGTTCACAACTACTTTCTCAGATTAACTCTGATTTTTACTGTGAATAATTGTGTACCTGACTGCATATTTTAAATATCCTTTGACAATGAGGCAATGGTAAACTTTACAAAAACATTGCTTCACTTTTTTATTAAAGCAAAATTCAGTAACTGTCACAAACATTTACAAATACAAAGAAATAGGTGGATAAAAGAAATAGGTATGGTACTTTAAATATTCAGAGATTAATCTACATAAATTGTACACTGTACTGTTAGGATACAGTGAGGCATACTGATATACAGTATGGAAAACTACTGATATTCAGCTTCGAAAACCTTGATATCATGTAATATAGTATGCCACCATTACACTGTCAGTAAGAGTCCCACTCTGGTAGTATTCTATCCCCCCTCCAGCCTCAACCCTTCTCATGTAGTCAAAAGTCTCTGAGGACCCAGATCCCTCTCTGGGTATATGGGGCCCTTTTCTTCCCAGGCCAACAACCATAAGATCTCATCTAATGTGTATGACCTTGTTTTGGAGAGCAGCTACTCAGAGTTTTAAGAAAATTTATGCTGAAAGCTGAAGTGCCCACATATGTACACTAAAGGCACCGCATAGCTTAGAGGAAACCACTGGTAGAAAGAGAAAGAGGGCATTGGGGCTTGGGACTAGATTTCCTCATGCAGACAATATTTTATTCAATTTTGTTATTTTGATTATAATTTAAATATTCAATTAGCTTTCATGCCTCCATTTAAACTTTTGTTATAAGCCCCACAAACATTGGGGATGGACCTGCTGTTATAATAACTGCTAAACTAGGGATACTTATTTCATAGTAACAATTAAGTTCATTATTCATGTAAAACACAAAAACATATTATGTGCTAAATGTACACACATAAATCCTGTGTACTTAGGAGGGATATTTCACATATCAATTTAACACTACTACCCTGATTATTCAATTTTTCTTTGCATTTAGAAAGTCAAGTGGTGGCCAGGGGTCAGGGTTGGGAAAAGGGTGTCATTACTAATATGAGGGAGCTTTTTGTGATGGAATCCTTAGTCCTTTGGAATTCTGATAGAATTACAGCTTCCAGATTCCTGTTTGGTTCCGTATTCTGATAGTGTTGATGGTTACTGAAATCTACATATGATAAATTTCATAGTGTGCACACACACACCCATACACAGTGCGTGTAAAAACTGGTGAAACATAAATAATGTCTGTATCTGAGTAATGTGGTTGTTGCTGTGGTTAGTTGAGGTCAATTCGATTTGACTTGTGGGGGCCACATCTGTTACCAGTATCAATTTCTTGTTTTTCAGAATATACCAAGATTATGTAAGATATGATCTACATCTTAAAAGAAGCTTGGTGTCTTAGTCATCTAGTGCTGCTATAACAGAAATACCACACGTGAGTGGATTTAACACACAGTAATTTACTCTCTCACAGTTTAGGAAGCTAGAAGTCTGAATTCAGGGCACTGGCTCTAGGGGAAGGCTCTCTCTCTGCTGACTCTGGGGGAAGGTCCCTATTCTCTGGGTTTGGTGATGTTCGTATGGCATAGCGGCTATCTTGTCCTGTCACTGGTTACTCGCTTGTTTAATCTTATATCTCAAAAGAGATTGACTTCAGACACATCCACATTAATACTGTTTAATTAACATAACAAATAAAAGGCATCCCAAATAGGATTATAACCACAAATATAAGGGTTAGGATTTACAACACATATTTCAGGGGGACAAAATTCAATCCATAACAATTCATCCTTTAGCACCCCCCCCAAATTCATGTCCTTCCCACATGCAAAATACATTCATCCTACAAGTCCTTAAATCAACTCCAAGTCAAAAATCTCATCTGAATCATCTAAATCAAGTATGGGTGAGACTTTAGGCATATTCAATCCTGGGGCAAAATTCCTCTTCATCTGTGAACCTGTGAAATCTAGAATACAAGTTATCTGCTTCCATAGTACAATGGTGGAAAAGGAACAAGTTGATATTTTGTCTTAGGCTGAGTTCTGTAGAGAAGTCAAACTAGGGGAGTGTGTGTATATATGTGTGTATATACATGTATATACATATATATGTAAAAATATACACACATACGTACAGAGAGATTTATGTCAAGAAAATGGCTCACACGGTTAGAGGCAGGAAAGTCCCAAGTCTGTGGGTAGGGCAGCAGGATGGAGGCTTCTCCTGACTCACATAGTTGCAGGGGCTGAATAACCCAAAATTGGCAGGTCAGATGGCAGGCTGCTGGCTCATGGGCTGCGGAGGCTGATGAATCCAACATCAGCAGGTAAGAAGGCAGGCTGCTGGCTCAAGTCCCAAGAACTTGAGGTCAAATGATGACCAGCCAAATGAAGGATCCAAAGCAAACAAGAGCCACCGAGCTTTGCCAGAGAGTCCATATATATTGGATGCAGGCCACATACCCAAGGAAACTCCCTTTCAACTGATTGGCCGCTCACAGCAGCTCTCACCATGGACATGATTACATTATATCAGATCTCATCAGAGAGATGACTATGTCATTACATAACTGCCAAACTACATCATAACTGCCAAACCACTGAGAATCACGGCCCAGCCAAGTTGATACACAACTTTAACCATCACACATTTCCATTACAAATGAGAGAAACTGGAGGGAAAGAAGGACAACAAGCACCAGGCAAGTACAAAACCTAACAGAACAAATTACATTAGCTCTCAAGGCCTGAAAATGATCCTCTTTTCCAGAACTATCTGGGCAACGGCCCCACTCTCCAGACTCCGGGTGTTGGCTATGCTCTCTGGATTCTGGGTGGAGGCCCCGCCTTCCAAACCCACTGGGATGGCAACTCTGCTCCCTCAGTTTTGGATGGTCCCATTCTCCTAGCCCATCTGAGTGGCAACCCCACCCCCTCTCTCCTAGGAGCCCCTTCTTCTGCCTCTCGGGTATGGCAGCCCCACCTCCTTAGGTTTGGGCAGTGGCCCCATCCTCTTAGCCAAACTCATTGGCAGCCCCACACTCTGGAACTGATATGACTTTTTGAGACCTAGGAGATCATGGCTCCAGCCTTTGAAACCAAGATAGCCCTGCTTCCCACACTCCTTCCAATAGTTCTGCTATCTCCAAACTTCTCCAGGCATGGTCCTTTTCTTTTTTTGGAGGACAACAGATGTAGTCCTCCAACAGTCCTTTGGTCTGTTTCCTGCCTATAGAATTGCAAGAGGCAGATAGCTAGCTCACTTTTGTTTCATCCTTTCTCTGTCCCCTTCAGTCTGAGATGATGGGTCTTCTGCTATAGTAGTGGGTTAGACTCATAAATCACAGGCTTAATCTCTTCAACAAAAGATTGTATAGCCACATCCTTGGTGAAAATTCTAGGACATGTGTCCTTAGTTTGTACAACAGAATTTGCCAAATCTTTAAGTTTTGTTTTCATTTTGCACAGTTCATTATTAACTCCATCTCTTTCATCTCACATTTTACTGCAGGCAGCAAGGAGAAACCACATGGTCCCTTTAAGATCTTGCTTAGAAATCTCAGCCAAATATCCAGGTTCACCACTTACAAGTTCTAACTTCCATCCAACATTTGAACATAATTCAGACAAGTTCTTTGCCACTGCATAAAAAGCATCACTTTCTCTCCAATGACCAATAGTGTTTACTATCTCTTTGTAAAGTCTCACCAGAAGCATATTTAATATCCACATTTCTAACAACATTCTATTCATGATAGCTCTCACCACAGCTCTTTCTAAGCCCTCATCAGAATTGTCTTTGGTGGCTATAATTCTACCAATAGTCTCTTCAAGGCAATCTAGTGCCTTACAATGAAGCACATCAAATTTCCTCTTGCCTCTACCATTACCCAATTGCAAAACCACTTCCACATTTTAGGTATTTGTTAGAGCAGCACTCCCACTTCTCAGCCAAATTCTGTTTAGTTATCTAGTGCTGCTGTAACAGAAATATCACAAGTGAGTGGCTTTAACACACTGAAATTTATTATCTCATAGTTTAGGAGACTCTGGGGGAAGGTCCTTATTCCTTGGCTCCTGGTGATCTTCATGTGGCAAGGCATCTATCTTCTCCCATCTCTGTTTACTCACTCGTTTAATCTCTTTCATATATCAAAAGAGACTGAGTTAAGACACACCCTATACTAATACTGTCTCATCAACATAACAAATAAAACCTATTCCCAAATGAGATTATAACCACAGGTATAGAGTTTAGAATTTACAACACATATTTTGAGGGAAAAAATTCAATCCGGAACACTTGGTAAAGGGTACAAAAGAAATCTCTGTAATATATTTGCAATTCCTTATGAGTCTTGAACTATTTCTAAAAAGAAAAAAAAAATTTAAGCTTCATATTCTGCAACAAATGTCTATATATTACTATTTGTTATTTTTTCAGAAAACAAGTATGGTCTCAAATCTAAAACACAACTTTTAATATTACATTATTTCCAAAAGAAACTTTAAAATAAGTATTTCTTAAATGGCCAGATTTCTCAATATAAACTGACTTAAGCTAGTTTAGATTTTTACAAGTAACTTACACAAATTCAAACCAACTGTAAAGTTTTATGTCAGTATCAATCAAATGTCACTTCTTAACAAAGGCTGTCCTATATTTGTTGCAATCTATTTCCCCATCATTACTTTGAAGTAAATTAAGGCCAAGTTTGTGGATGAAGGTTACTGAACATTCAGAGTGTCAGTAGATCTTTCTCCTGTGTGAATTCTCTGAATTTTAGTGGGTGATGGCTTCTGGCTGAACATTTTATTCATAGATTTTTCTCCTGTGTGAGTTCTCTGATGTACAACGAGGTTTGACTTCTGAGAGAAGGTTTTTCCACATGTGCTACATCCGTAGGGTTTTTCTCCTGTGTGTGATCTCTGATGCTTAGCAAGGTCTGACTTACGGTAGAAAATTTTACCACATTCATTACACTGACAAGATTTCTCTCCTGTGTGAGCTCTTTGATGTACCGTGAGGGATGACTTGTGACTAAAGGATTTCCCACATTCGTTACATTCATAAGGTTTCTCCCCTGTGTGCTTTCTCTGATGTAAAATAAGTCCTGACTTGACACAAAAAGATTTTCCACATTCATTACATTTATAGGGTTTTTCTTCTGTATGAGTTCGCTGATGTACGATTAGAGCTGACTTATGGCAGAAAGCTTTCCCACATTCATTACATTTATAGGGTTTCTCCCCTATGTGAATTCTCTGGTGTTGAGTGAGCTGTGACTTCTGGCAGAAGGTTTTTCCACATTCATTGCATTCATAGGGCTTCTCCCCTGTATGTGTTCGATTGTGTTTGGTTAGGTATGATTTATTGTAAAAGATTTTTCCACATTCATTACATTCATAGGGTTTGTCCCCTGTGTGCATCCTATAATGTTGGGAGAGGGTTGACTTATGGCTGAAGAATTTCCCACATTCAGGACATGCAAAGGGCTTCTCCCCTGTGTGAATTCTCTGATGTACCATGAGGTCTGACTTCAAGCAGAAGGTTTTCCCACATTGATAACATTCATAAGGTTTTAAACCTGTATGAATTATCTGATGCCTGGTAAGTACTGACTTGTGGTAGAAAGTTTTCCCACAAGCATTACATTCATAGGGTTTTTCCCCTATGTGAGTTCTCTGATGCTGTGAAAGATGTGATTTTTGATAGAAGGATTTCCCACATTTAGGACATTCGAAGGGTTTTTCACCAGTGTGAATTCTCTGATGTACTATGAGATGTGAATTCATACAGAAGGATTTCCCACATTCATAACATTCATAGGGTTTCAACCCCGTGTGTGTTCTCTGATGTTTAGTGAGGTCTGATTTCTGGTAAAAAGTTTTCCCACATACATTACATTGATAGGGTTTCTCCCCTGTATGTGTTCTCTGGTGTAATGTGAGGGCTGATTTGTGGCTGAAAGCTTTCTCACATTCACTGCATTTATGAGGTTTCTCCCCTGTGTGTGATCTCTGATGTTTAGTGAGGTTTGACTTCTCCCAGAAAGTTTTTCCACATTCATTACATTCAAAGTGTTTCTCTCCTGTGTGTATCCTTTGATGTCGAGTAAGATGTAACTTCTCCCAGAAAGCTTTCCCACATTCATTACATTCAAAGTGTTTCTCTCCTTTATGAGTTTTCTGAAGTTGTGAGAGGTATAACTTCCTCCTGAAATTATTCCCACTTTCATTACATTCATAGGGTTTCATATGTATTCCATGATGTTTCAAGAGGGCTGACTTCATACATAAGGATTTCCCACAATCACTAAATTCATAGTGATTGTCTCTTGAGGGACCTATCTGATAGAACAAGAGGGATGAGTTATCACAGAAAGTTCTCCCACATTCATCATATTCATAGTCATTCCCTTCTGGGTTTTCTCTCTTGTGTGTATTAAATACGACTTTTTCATGGAAGAGTTCTTGACAAACATTATACTCAAAATTTTGCTCTGAAGTTTGATTCTTCTCGTGCTGAATAGTGTCCTCATTAGGACTAAGGGTTTTATTATTTTGAAAAACTTCACTTTTCTCTCCAGTATGAGTTTTCTTATGCTTAATATTAAATAGCAATTTTCCACGGACATTAAATTCATCAGGCTTTTTTCTTAAATAGTTTTTCTTATTAATTACTAATTCTGAAATATAGTTTGAACTCATTCCACATAAGTCATACTGGCAGAGTATTTTTCTGGAAGGAAAAGAATTTGTGTCCAAGTTAAATGGATTTCCTATTACATTACCTTGTCCCTTAGTCAGTGTTTTGTTATTGATGAATATAACTTGCCATAAATGTTTATCTTGGTTTTCTCTGCTCCTCTCTTTCAGGTTATCAGCTTTCCAGACTTCTAGAAACAAGAAAAAGAAACCTTACCGTACAAATATTAACACATTTCTTATGGAATGGGACCTCTATGCAGATGTCCTATGTTGCAGCTGACTCTTTGGTTTCTTGTTCAGTCTTCAGGAATGAAAATATTACTAAGTACATATTTTTATTATTTATTTGGTTTGGCAAAATAGAAACAAGTGGCCTGGTATAGAGGGAGGGAAAAGGGCGAGGAAACTGGCTACTAGAACACATACATTTGGTTTCCAACTGTATTTTGGCAATTGCCTAAATCTCCAACTCTCCATGCATCCTCCAAAAAGCTATAAAGGTCAATACAAGGAAAGCAAATGAAATTCCATATAGCAACTGATGGAGCCCTGGTGGTGCAGTGGTTAAGAGCTCAGCTGCTAACCAAAAGGTTGGCAGTTCAAATCCACCAGCTGCTTCTTGTAAACCCTATGGGGCAAGTTCTACTCTGTCCTATAGGGTTGCTATGAGCTGGAATCAACTCGACAATAGGTTTGGTCTAGTTTACAGCAACCCATGACTTTAGCATAATTAGGAGATACAACTCATAACTTTAACATAACTAGGAGACAGAGAATATTTCTAACTTCAAATCACCACTACATAGGGAAATAAATATTCAAAAACAGCAGAAACAGTTTTAGAGCCCAAGTATAGACAGTTGGAGACCAGGGTGGCCACTTGGAAAAAAGCAAAACACAGACAGCCTAGGAATGATGTAACACAAATAAAACCACTTCCAGAAAGGGAAAGTCCCACCATTAATGGGAAAATACTGAGAATACTGAGAGTTCTGGTAGATTAGAGGTCAGGCTTCTGAGAAATTAAAAAGAAGGGGCATGTAGTATATGGGAAATAGAAAAAAGCTGACCAAAGTCAAGAAAGAAGTTACAGAAAAGGCCAAAATGACCTTAGGAAACAGAAATTAAATTAAAAGGAGTAGAAAGAGAAAATAGATTTGAGTGAAATTTTAATCAACAATATTGGGAAAGGTCATGAATACAGACAAAAGAACAACACAAAAAGACTAAATAAATATATAAATCAGAAAGTTGTGGATAATGAAGATAGGAAGAAAAAAGCACTGTGAATAGTTAGAGTTCCTTAAGAGGAAAAACGAAACAGTGGAACTAATCTAAAATTAAAAACTATAATCTAAGAAATCTTTCCAGAAGTAAAAGCAGCTCTGATTTCACATATTCAAAAGGATCAAAATGAACTTGGGAAAACTGACCTGAAACAGTCACTGCAAGACATACCTTAGTATAAACTATTAGATCTTAAGCATAAAAAAGTCCTTTGAGGAAAAAGACCAAGTCACAACAAACAAACAGCAACATAGGTTTGGCATCAGGTTTGACAGCAACATACAACACAAGGTTCAGTTGAGCAGCATTTTCTAGAAATTCAAATGGGAATCAAGGGTTTAATCCAGTCCATTACCCTTTTCAGTTATCAAGGCTATTAAAAAAAAAAACGAAAAAGAAACAGTTTAGATAAATAGAGCTTACTGCAATCATGAAACCTAGTTCTATTAGAGAAGTTTCAAACAGTGAATATGTAACATTCATTAAATGTAACTGTATTACAGAATTGAGACCAAACATCATATTCATGTGAATAATGTTGAAATATTTTCTTACATACGTATTTACTACAATAAAAATAAACTGACACAAGCATTTAGAAACTTTCATAGCAATCTTAAAACAGCTTCAGTGATGTATAATTGACGAACAGTAAACTTCACGTTTAAATTATTTAATTGGGTAAGTTTTGAAGTAAGTATAAAACCATGAAGCTATCTTGAAAATCAAGACAAGAAATTCATCATTCCCAAAAGTTTCCTCGTGCCCTTTTGTAATCAGTCTCCCATCACTGTTTCTGTCCCACCTCCTTCATCCTTAGACAACCAGTAATCTGCTTCATATGTATAGATATTAGCTTGCAATTTTGAGAATTTTAGATGAATTCATGATAGTATGTACTCTTTTTTCTGGAATCTTTCATCATCCTAATTCTGAGATTCATTCATGTTATTGTATGTACCAATAGCTCAACTAAATTTATTGGTGAGTAGAAGTTCATTGCATGGATACACAAATATTTGCTTATATAATTAACTTGATAGAGATTTGAGCTGTCTCCAATTTTCAGCTATTATGAATAATGCTGCTATGAAAATTCATGTACAAACCTTTGTACCGATTATCAGAATGGCTGGGTCATATGGTATGTCTACAGTTAATTTCTTAAAAAACTGAAAAACTGTTCTCTAAAATGGTTGTGCAATTTACCTTCCAATAGCTGTGTAGAAAGCTCCAGCTCCCCCACATCCTTGCCAACACTAGGTATGGCCAATATTTTTTATTTTAGCCATTGTAAGAGAAATCTCATTGTGGTTTTGTTTCCTTTTCCCGATTGACAATGATGTGTATTTTTTCATGTGATTTATTTGCTATATATCTTCTAGGGTAAAGTGGATATTCAAGCCTATTAACTATTTCTGAAGGGGCTGTTTATTTTCTTAGTTTTATAAGTTCTTAAAAATATATATATTTTGGGTAAAAACACTATCAGATACAGGTTTTGCAAATACTTTCTTCCCATTTGTTGCTTGTCTTTTAATTTCCTTAAGAGTCTCTTTTTGAAAAGGTCAGATCTCACAAGTTAAAAGGACAGTGTCCTTCAGACCAGCTGCCCATGCAGCACTTCTTTCTGACTGTAGTCACCTGGAGCCAGTCTGGATCTCACAAATTAAAATAACACTGTTCTTCAGACTGCCAAATAGGCACATGCCAGTCACAAGTTTGGAAGTCCACATGACACTCTAACTTCTGAGCTGGTAGCTACAAATTCAGGGATTTCCGTCCACTTCAGAATGCCAGCCACAAGTTCAGAAGTCACCCCTCCGCCCTCGATCTGCTGGCTCCCACTACTACTTTGGGTTCGATAATTCGTTGGAATGACCAGAACTCATAGAAAGTGTTATACTTACAATTACAGGAAGTAACTGTAGGAAAAAAGTATTCTAGGAAAATAGGATACAAATGAAGAGACACATAGGGTGAGGTCTGGTAAGGTTCCCAACATGGAGCTCTCATGTCCAAAAAAGACGCAGTACCCTCTAATGTGCATGGGTGTCTTTCACCAATTAGGCAGCCCAAGAAACTTCCATGTCCAGAGCTTTTATTCGGGGCCTCGTTATGTAAGGCAAACTCAAGCCCTTCTCCCCTGAGATCAGTAAATATGATGAGGTGATCATGAGTGTTATTATGCAGTGTGTCTTTGTGGACTGGCCAGCCCCTGCCCCAGAGTCACCTCATCACCTCACTGGCATAACCAGGTGTGGTCTGGAGTCCTTACTGAAGACACTTAAGTTCCAAGGTTTTTTAGAGATCATCTCTCAAAAACTGAGGGCAAAGCCAAATTCTTTGGGTTAAGGTTAAATTCTAAACCCCACAACATTCAAACCAAATTTGAGGGTGACCACATAAATATACAACTTCTCAGGATTGGTGTTTTCAACTCAGTATAATCCCTTAAGATTTATCCGAGTTGTTGCCTGTATTAACAGTCTGTTCTTTTTTAATGCTGAGAAGCATTCCATGGTATAGATATACCACAGTTTGTTTAGCAATCCACCTACTGAAGGACATACAGATTGCTTTCATGTATGAACTATTATTCATAAAGCTGCAATGTAACATGTACGTTTTTGAGAGAACTTGAATTTTCATTTCTCAATAAGCGCAATTGGTGAGTCATATGCTAAGTCCATTTTTAGCTTTAAAAGAAACTATCTTCCAATGTTTCCATCAGTAATATATATGACTAATTCAGTTTCTCCACATCCATACCAGCATTTGGTATTATCACTATTCTTGACAAGGCAAGTCTTTTAGCAACAACTTCTCTGTTTTTGTTTATCTTTAGCCACCATTTTTGAAAAATAACTTTGTTGGATATTAGATTATTGGTTTTTGTGTTTTTGTTTTTGTTTTCATTCAGTCTTTTGAATATGGCATCATAATGCCTTCTGGTCTTCATTGTCTCTAATAGGAACTCAGTGTTAATCTTAGTGTGGCTCTCCTAAGCATGATGAATCGTTTTTTTCTTGATGCTTACAAGATTGTCTCTTAAACTTTCAACATTTTCATTATGATGTATCTAGGTGTAGATCTTTTTTATTTATCCTACTTGAAGTTTGTCGGGCATCTTGGATGTATACGTTGGTGTTTTTCGACAAAGTTTAAAAGTTTTCAGTGATTATTTTTTTAAAACATTTTTCTCTGTCCATTTCTCTTCTCTTGTTCTGGTACTCCCAATTATGTGTATGTTTATTCACATAATGGTGTCCCACATTTCTTTTTTTTTTTTTTTTTTACATTTTTCCTTTCTGTTCTTCAAATTGCACAATCTACCTTGATCTATCTCCTAATTTGTTAATTCTTTCTTCAGTCAGCTCAAATCTACCAATGATCACCAGAAATAAATTTTTTATTTTGGTTATTGTACTTTTCAACTACAGAATTTTCATTTAGTTCCTTCCTGTAATTTCTCTTTGATGAAGTTTTCTATTTTACAAATCACGGTTATCATAAAAAAAAAAAAAAAAAAAGGACAAAAACCCACTGCCATCAAGTGGATTCCAACTCATAGTGACCCCATAGGGTTTCCAACGCTGTAAATCTCTACAGAAGCACACTGCCACATTTCTCCCTCGGAGCTGCTGGTGTTTTCAAACCTCTGACCTTTCAGTTAGCAGTGGATCTCTCTTACCATTGCGCCACCATGGCTCATTATTGTTATCATACCATCTTTCAATTCTTTAAACATTATTTCCTTTCGTTGTTTGAAAATATTTATAAAAGCTGCTTTGAAGTCTGCTAAATCCAACTTCTGAGCCCACTTACTGGGAGTTACTGTTGCCAGCTGTTGTTCTCATGTATGGTCACACTTACCAATTTGTTTGCATATCTCAATTAT